GAGCAGACCAGTCTTAGAGCATAAGCAGAACTGTACAGTAATGTGAAAGATGATTCCAGCTGTGAAAAGGTCAACATAGAGACCCAGGCATTTAGCCAGACATGCTGTGTGGCTGCCCGTCCGTCCGTCCGTCTGTCTGTATGTCTGTCTGGCTGTCTATCTGTCGTGTGTCGTGCAGAGCTATAGCTGTCATGTAACTTGCCTCACTTTCCAATGGCTAAAAGAAAAGAAAAGTGCAGCCTGAGAACCGATCAGGGCATTTCTCCCAGCCATCAAACGAGGGTCGTGCTGAAGACGAGCTAATATTGACAAATTAAATGCAGTCTAATGTGTGTTTAATGTGTGCGTCCAGTTGATTGTTGATCGGTTTCATTTTTTTAAGCGGAAGCCTCCCGTCGAGAAGCCCCCAGGTCCGTATATACATATACATATATAATACATGTGTACACAGCGATGTCAGCTTCAAAAGCTTGCATCATTTTCACATGTTAATTACTTTTTTTTGCATTAGTTGTTTATTGTTTACCTCCCCAGTTGAAACCTATTGATCTATGGCTGAGACCTGGGGCCAGCTCGGAGATGAAGAGTTTAACAAATATATAAATCTCGTTAACTGCTTGAGAAATGTACAATTGTTGAACGAAAAACACAAAAATAAACAATCCCTGAATATAGTTATATAGAATTATAGCGTTCTGATTCCTGAGCTGATTTTAACTCGCGCGTTATTTTAATTTCGGTTATACAATAAAAGAACAATAGAAAAACTATCATATAACAAGAATTTTTATGCACAAGAAGATCTGTGTAGAACAATAAATCAGTTTTCTTAAAAATCCATTTCGAATAAATTTTAAAAAGGAAAGATATTACTCAAAAATTTAATTGAAAGATCAATCATATCTATGGCTCTTGCTAACATATTATTAAGCAAGTCTTTTCTTTCATAGTTGTTTTTCCGCTTATGAAAGAAGATAAGAATTATGTACAAAAAAATAAAAATAAAATTTATAATGTTTAATATATTTTACAATTTTTAGTCATTTTTATATCCCATTTGAATTTTCAACAAGCCGAACCATGTGTTGACAAAGTTTCAACACTCGACGAGTGATATAAAGAGAAAATCCCGCTGCACAAATGCATCTGCTTGCAATTTGAGGCAACATATGTGAGTTTGCCTAGGCCCTGGAGCATAACAAATATATACAGAAACACAAGAGTACATACAACACATGTGTTTGCGTGTGTGTGTATGTGTGTGTTCATGTGTGTTAAAACTGGCAGCCAAAGGCAAGGCAATTCAAAAGTCATTGAGGCGCAAAAGTCAAGCATAAATATTTCAAATAATGTTTGTTGGCCCCGGCCGGAGCCCCACAACGCCACTGGGCACTGGCAATAGCTGTGGCTATAGCAATACAATTGGGTCTGGGTCTGGGCCTGATGCTCTCTGCGCTCTGTGCTCTGTGCTCAGGGCAGGCAACGTTGTGTGGCATAATTTGGTGAGAGTTCGAGTTCAACAGCTGAAAAACAGCCACAACAACAGAAACAACAACAACAACAAGCGCATTAACTCGAAATAAGAACAACACGAATCCCAGAGCAGTGTTTCGAGGAGAGCAGCGACTGGAGGCATCGTTGTAATAGTCGACGACGACGTCGCTGATGACCTCAGTTAAAAATAAATAATACTTTACATTGTTTGGAATTAGTTGCTGTTTTTGGTTAGAATATTGTTGCATCCATCTACAACTGTGTATATATGTATCTGTATCTATGTATATGTATATGTAGCTGTGCTGCTTGTTTAGGTTGTAAGTTCAGGGTGGCGCTCAGTGTCGCCTCCCGTTGATGACGATAGCAACAACAACGATGACAACGCAGACAACGACAACAACATCGGCATACAAATCATTTTGTCAACTCAACTTGTTCTGGCAGCTGTATAGGGTATTTATGTAAATTCTTGTACGACATTTATCACAGATGAAATTGATGAACCTGCCCGTGATATATGGCCATAAAGATGAGGGAGTTATACACCAGACACAGCGAGGGAATACGAAATAAAGAACACTTGCAGCAGTTTCTTAAACTATACCGTTCGTAGAATTAATTAATGACTAAACGTTTAATAATGTTTTCGGGCTGTTTTTTGAATGACAAATCAAATTTTTCAAATTATGATTTCTATATAAGAAACCAGATGGTTTTCGAAAACTCCATATACCAAGATCAGAAAGAGAAAAGTTTTTAAAACAGTTGTGTTAAGCATTTAAATTAAACTCACTTTTTATACCCTTGTATAGGGTACAATAAATTTGTCATTAAATGTGTAATGCTTAGAAGGAAACATGTCGATTCCCATATATATTCTTGATCAGTATCACTGTGTGAAGAAGCTTTTTGTTTTTTATGATATCTTCACCAAACTCTGCATTTACGAGCTTCATAATTCTCCTAACATATGCGAAACCATAAGACATACGTCTGTGTTGTAGTTTTCATTAATCTCGTCTTCAAGTATGTCCAGTTCTGATAAAATCAAGCCGATTTGAAGTTGTTTCAACATAAATCTCTTCTGAGAAAGCAGGAATACGATTCATAGTAAAGGAATACGATGCGGTATGGTATAAAAACATTTTCTCAAATATTGCTCCCTAAGACTGCATGGCATGTTATGGTAAGAATAAATAAACAAATTAATGTGATTAAATCTAGGCGTTGCATTGCAATTTTATAGTGTTATTTCTGGACAATTTAAAATTCTAGAGGTTTGGTTTGGTTTGTAATATTTCAAGGATTCCGCTTAAAACACTTGGCTATATTTTGGGTGCTCACCTATCAGCTGTGTCTCACTTTACCGAAACGGAGCAAACAGAAATATAAGCACAAACCATATTGTTTCAGTTTTATTTACCCCGAGTTTGCCGTTAAATTAAACGAGCGTACGCACAAGTGTTTCTTTATAGGTTTATATACTTGTATATATGTAGGTACATATAAGTATATGTATAAGCATATGTGGAAAATAAACAAAAAGGTAAAAAAAAAACCAGTTTATATGACGGTGGTGTAAAATGCGCGTACCACTCCAAATACATAAGTATATTGTATTCTATAGCTACGAATCGAATAAAGAAATCGAGCTGAACTCCCTTGTGCTGCATAAAAAAGGGGATGACGCATGCATAATAATACCGGAAATATATCGATGCAAATCAGAGAACCGCAGCTCATTGAAGTATTGTGTTTATTTCATCAACACAACATCGGAGAATTCCAAACACCAACCACAACTCGAATATAAAGTTGAGACAATAAATAAAACGGGGAGAACAACTGAGCGTTATCCCAACATTCCATTTAATATGGTTCGAAAATTTTAATAACATATTAACCAGATCATTAAATTTTCGATCGACTTTATTATTACTGTGGAAAAAAAGTGACTTTTCGGAAGTATAAATCTTTTGCAAATTAGAATTAATTTTCAAAAACGAAGCGTTCTTTTTGAGAACCTACACTGTATTTGGAAGATCAAGAAACACTGCTTATGATTTATGATTTCTGATTTTTGATGCCATAACGCTGACAATCGAAACTGTCCCCAACGATCGTCGGAAACGCAGCGAGATAAAGTCTCCGGCTTGTTGTCTCAAGTGCGAGTGCACGATCCGATTTGGATCGCGGTGATGAAACTAGAAGAGAGAGGCAGATAATGCATGCGACTAACTAACTGTTAGCACATGCGTATGGTATATAATATAGGTTATCACTATATCATTTCGGAGTCGCTCGAACAGCCGAGACGAGCCACCACTCAGCGAGCTGACAAGATAAAGCGGCCTAGCCGACTAAAAAGGAGAGACAACCGCAAGCCCAAGCCCAAACCCAGACGCAGACCCAGGCCATTCACAGGCGCAGGCCAATTGCGATAGTGATAGTGATAGCTACGTATAAGTGTGTGTATGTATATGTGTGTGTATTAGTTTTGTGCTTGTGTGGCATATGCCGGTTTGAGTAGAGTCTGTTTTTTGTTTTTATACCCTCTACGCATTCAAAAGAGCAAGAGAACGGGTATAATGAAGTTGTACACATGAGTGTCACGAGCAAATAGAAGCATCTTTCATTTTGGTATACACAGAAAATTATTAGAAAGACAAATGAATCGCTTTGTACTTTGTTTTCGCAATTTTAATTTCAATTTGTAATAAGTATTTTTTGAATCAAGTATTAAGAATCAATATAAGAATTGTACTTTAAGAACAAAAACGACTTTAAATTAAGTACAAAACTCTTAAAAGCAAGAAATATGAATAAACTAATATACAAATATATATTTTGGATAACTATTACATGCTGATTCAATTTAGACAAGTCGAGTTGATTGAAAATCATTGATAACTCACACTCTTATCCAAAAATTCATAAAGACCGATTTTCAGTCCGGATAGTTTAAAGTATATCGTGGAGAAAATGAACCATTACTAATGCACATGACAGTACATAGTACAACTAAAGGTTAGAAATAACTTTTGGAATGCTATTTTGTATTTCTCCTAATGTTAAAAATAGAATTTTCTATGTTTAAAGCAGTTTTTTTTTTTTTTGGAATAGACACATATTTGAGTGTCATATTTTTATTTTTTATGTTTGATTAAGGAATGTAACAGCAAGCTACCGGCTACAGGGTATCTGCTAGTCAGTCAAACACGTCTGGATCACTCTTGCTGGTTATTTATTTATTTATTTCGTTTAGTTGTTAATTTTTATTTTTGGAGTGAAAGTAACTGCAAACATAGCAACAACAACTAAATGTTTTCTAACACGCTCTGTTCTAGGAAACGTCTCTCGCATTAACTTTAGCATCTGGAGATGTTGCTGTTGTTGTTCTGCTTGCTGTTGTAGCTGCACACAGATAAGCTAATGTTTGCCCGCTGCCGATGATAAGCGCCATGGGGTCGGCTCTGTCGATTTAGACCAACTTTTACACGTACCTTTTAGACGAGCTTGCAGCTGCTTTGATGCAAAAGAGATGGAGACACAGATAGAAAAAGAGGGTTTGTGCTTAAGCGCAAAACACAGACAATTCTCTTTGAACACACAAATATAATTATTTTTATTTCGTATTAGCTTCACTAATTTCTAATATTTCTGCAACTTCAATTTATTAGATTATATTCCAATTCAATTTCAAAAAACTTTTCACATTACGCACATTTACTTTGTTGTTTTGCGCTCGTTTTCGACATTTCAATTTCGATTATAATTTCAACATGTTTTTCTTTTCTTTTGGAGCTTATGCCAGAATTTTGTAATCTAAAACAAAAACAAACGCGGCGCGCTCTCCCTCTCTCTCTCCCTCTTTCTCACTCGAGAGCACACACGCACACGCTCACAGCGGAACCGAAACGAACCGAATAGCTCAGAAACAGATTTTTACGCACTATTTAGCTTTATATTTTACTGTAATTTTTTCCTGGTTTTTTATGTGTGTGAGTGTGTGTATAAATGGTTAAGTGCGGGAAGGCGGGGAGCTGTGCGAAATTGAAGCCGAAAAAAACACGCGAGTTCGCCGCGTCTTGACAATCGAAGCGTTTGTTTTGTTTGCAACTGCAATTTCCGCGCTCGTTTCTTTTTGTTTATACTAAAAGCGATTTTGTTGTTGTTGTTGTTGCTGATGGTGTTTTCGTTGTTGTTGCTGCAGCAAAACAAACATTTTCTTTCTTAATAAACTTTTACGCTGCGCTATCGTTTCGTGTGTGTCTTGTTTATCGTATTTTCTTCGGTTTGTTTTGTAATTTCGTTCACGTTCTCGTCCACGGCCTCTTTGCGATTGTATGGGCTGAATGAATGTCTGTCTCACGCTGCGCGCCGCTCATTCATAAATCGTAGACCCGTACGAAACAGCGACAAAAACTTATCTCTCGACCCGTCTGCACGTCTGCTTAGCTTGGCAAGCGGTTGCCGACTAACGGTTGCAACCAATCGGCAACGGCGTCCACGATCGTTTTACGTTGCCATCGAACATGTTCCATTCGTACAAATGCTTAACAGCGGGCTTGTTGTATTGCGTTTAAAGAGTAGAAAAAAATTAAACTTTAATTTTACGGTGGGCGTGATTAATATTTAGGATTGAAGCATTTATTAGAAACTTCCAACACGGATAAAGCTTTAACTAAGGCATGAGGCGTGTCCAACCTAATCTCATATACCTATATAAATATAACTACAGCATGGACTAGCCTTCGAACTCATCTTTTGTAGCTTAATAACTGTGCAATGAAACACATAGAATATTTAAATAAAACAAGACTCAGACAAATTTAAATGTTCCAAACAAATATATTTAACACAGGCTTAACATATGTAAGCCGTTGCCCACACTTTAACAGAGCGAACATACCGCTGCTTAACCGTTTCGATGAGCGAACTTGTTGGCTGTGGAACCAGTGCAAGCGCACTTCGAAACGTTCAAAGAATCGGCTAAAAGAACTTTTCGTCATTGAAAGTAAAACCGAGAGGGAAAAACTCCACCTGCGGCGTTTTGGTGTGTAAATTTACACACTTTCCAATGTTAACAAGCGGCGATAAAGCACCATGGAATAGCTCTCCTCAGTCTGTGTTCTCAGTGCTCACATTGTTTGCGCCCTGGGTTTTATGGGGCTGTGCTCACAGTTTGCCGCAAGGCAACTGTTGCATCTCTTCTTGCAGCCTCCGAACGTTTATCGCCGTCCTAAATCATTAGTTCTTATCAGCGAGTCGCCTATCTGCCAGTTTTATGACTAGGGCTTTTCGTGTCATTGTCTAAGTGTCAATTTCCAGGAAAGCGTCTTAACACTTTCATTGTCTTAATTAGATTAGCGCCTTGTGTGCAGTTGGGCTTAGCGACTTCTTCTCACTCTCGCGAAGCAACATTTGAAACTAAAGTCATTTACGGGCTTGGAGCAGAGTTTAATATCATTTAATATTTTGATCGAATAGCCGAATAGAACTACACAATTTTTATTACCTAACTTTTATTTTTGTGGAAAACAGTCTGAAAATTTTAGCATTAACACAATATGACCTGGATATTTAAAACCCTGAGAAGATGCTGCGAATTCGCCATGGCACCCCTGAATGGAAAGCCTCACGTGAGCTTCTCGCCAAGCACGCTTAACATAGAGCGGGAGCGCACAATGCGGCACATTGCCTCCCCGATACCTTTCCAGAACTTCTTAAATGAGATGCGTTTAACTGCATTAGATGAGCGTGGAAAGGATCATATGACATTGAGGGAATCCTCCCTGTTGCGCAAGTCCGCCATTCGCCTATGGTCGACTTTGAACGAGGGTCAAAAGGATAAGTATCGCGTGTTGGCAAACAATGCCACGAGCACCCGTGTTCCAATACACATAATATCCGAAAGCAAAAGCAGGCCTCAGTTAACCAACAATAAAGTGACACAAAAAAGCCATTCAGAGTCAATGGTGAATTGGGGCCTGTCGCCCAAAAACGCGAGGAAACCAAAGACTAATTGCTCCGAGCAGCAGGTTGGGAAGGACTCACGCAAACGGCAGTCGAAGGAAAGGCAAGTCACCAAAAAGTCTGCAAAACAATCAAAGATCAGAAAGCTCGATAAGCCAAAATACAGGACTTTCAAGAAAACTTTGTCCAGATCCAATTCGTTATCGCTGCCAACCGAAGAGGAAGTCAATATACCAGTTGACCTTGAAACCTCTCCGCAAACGTCTAGGACGCAATTGCGCCTGTCGCGAAAGCGACAACAGAGCGACACAAACCTAGACAATTCGGACAGCAGCAATGACCAGATCATTTCTATGCATGCGGAGCATTCTCAGCCGGAATCGCCCCAACTAGGTCAGTTGGGGCCAGAGCCCGAAATGTCACACCCGTTGATTCGAGGGGCAAAACGTAGACGATGGAGCAACCACGCTGACCATTGATGTAGATAATAAACTAGATTAAATTAAAATATATTTGGGATTTTAAAATGTTCACAGATATATAAACATAATAATCAAAGTAAACAATCCAAACACAGGAAACACACAACTCGATAACTATTCATCAGGATTAGCCGTGTCAACTGTTTCCTTTTCTACTCTCGGCTTGGAATTATTTAGTTTTGTTTTTTATTTGTTTTCGTCTCTCCCTCCGTGCGCCAGTTTCATAACGCTGCGAGGTGTGCCAGGCGGCGGCCACATCCTTATCAAAGGTGCGCATCAACGTCACAGAAATCCCCAGCTCTGACCCGCGTACGTGCCTGCGTTCTGTCTTTGAAATCGAAACCTCTGACGTTCCATTGTGTTGAAATCTAAGCGTTCCCCGCGCTGCATGTTGATCGATCGCGTCTGCGGCCGCGTCGCATCGCGTTTTTTGTTTTTTTTTTGGATTCCAATGAAAAGCAAAGCAAGACCGAGGAACCAAAACAAAAAGATTCTACTCTGATATATTCAAGCATATTTTGAATAGTTTTCAATGCCAATGACAGGAACGCACATTGGCCCTTGAGCCGTAGAAAAATACTCAAGATCTTTAATCGTGTTTTAAACATGCTTTTAAATGTGAAATAAAACATATTTAATAATAAATATATGTATTATATGTTTTTCCGAGAGTAAACGTTAAAAAAATTACATTTTTTTTTTTAAATATTTAATATAGGATTTAGGTAATAATAAACTTTATTTTTTAAATTGTACCTAAAACAATATAAAATTGGCTCTGTAATTAGTTTAAGTTTCGTCAATAATGAATATATTTTAGAAAAAATTATTACACAATGCATTTCTTAATCTGATTTTTTTTTCGCCTTCATTAAGAAATGACAGCATTTATACTCTTGTCTTGGTTCCGAATCTTGACCTTGTTCCATTGGATATCGAAACAAGCATATCGAGCAACAGAACGGGCTCCAGGTTCTGTTGCTTGTAAAAAAAAAACTCAATTATTTTTAAGCAAATATAAAATAGTATATCAATTTTATTAATGTGCAAAACAAAGGCTCGCGTTACCCTTATCTGGTAAACTAGGTATTTCGGACTAGTAAATTGTGATCTTGGTGTTTTTAAGTTTAAAAGTATATATGATATTTTTTTAATTTCATCGTTATTATTATTTTTTTTTGTATTTATGCATCTGTGTGTCTCACAGTTGTAAACGCACATTTCTTTCTCTTTTGCATAAATAATGCAAATAAAAGCCGATAAACGATAGTTATATATTAGCGCACAGCGGGTAGCTGACCAATAAAGTCGTACGGACATTTGGCCGGGGCTTTCCCATCTTAGCCAAAGCTCTGGCGACCAAGTGAAAATTGCCATAAAAAAGGCAATGCTCGCGCACTCACTCAACGATGGCGACATCGTTCTGTTAATAGTCACACTGTCTCCCTCTCTCTCTCTCTCTCTCTCCCTCACTCTCTCTTTCTCTCTTTAGAGATCGCCATGTCAATTGCGATCCTCCACAGTCCTGCTGCTGCTCGATACGAAAACGCATTTGCGCCATTTGGCGGCGCTGGTTGATAAGTCAAGTTTTTATGGCTGCGCGCGCATTTAACTTGATTATAAACGACCGCAGGCGGCCGGGTAATATAAAATCGCTTTTCATTATAGCCGGGGCATGTGAAATTAATATGCCAGCCAGCCAGATAGCAGATAGGCAGCGTGATACCCAGCTCGGCAGTCAAATCTCCAAGTCAAGTTCGTTGCCTAAGTCTTTTGTTTTGTTTCATTTTTTTCAACATTATGTTAACCATTTTTTTTTTGTTTTTTTGCCAATGCCGACTGCCTGCTGTGCGTGTTTGTGGCTAAACAAAATCAAAGTCACTTCAAATGTTCATTAATTCAAATTGATTCTAATCGTGGCGCACTCATTAATCCCAGCGCCACCCCACGCATGTGGCCAGAGCTCCAAAGGATTGCCAAATGCATTTCTATTGCCTGCGAGTTTTATTGATGAGCCGCAGTTAGCTCCCGGACTTGCGACTTGGTAGCAGCAGCAATATCGTGATTAATATGCCCAGCCGCTGAAGTATGCTTCGAGTGGCGACTGGCTGCATAGCTACTGCCATGTTCTATGCCAATCTAATATATATGTATTTATCTTTATATGGCTCCATACAGTTGCGGCGGGCAGGTAGCCAACTGCGCATTGACTGCTTGTTTGAGATCCTTTTTGTGTGCACTTCCGCTTGCGAGCCACTTGTTACTTTTGCAGGCAAACACGACAAAATGTTAAGTGGTGTGTGGCTAGCAGATAAGCCATAAAAAGGGAGATCCTTTACTTCTAAATGCCCGACAGCAAACAAGGCAGCGCATATAATGACACCTCCAGCGGACTGACTTACGACCAGGAAGACACTCGGCTCTGCAAACAGCGCAGTCCGGCAAAAGTCAACAAGTACTCACATATAAATAAACGCTCATATATATATATATATATATTTATATGTGAACAGATCATGCTGAAAACTGTGCTATGTGTAAATTAAATACACACAGAGCTAACGAGCAAACATCAGACAATACCATGTGGCCCAGCTGGCCAACAGCCGAGGCTGTCAAGGCGGCGGCCTCAGCTTATGCAAGCCTCTGGAGCGGGACTCAAGGTTGCCAGCCGCCAGCATTGGGTCAAACTGCGTATTAACGGCCGGCCGTGTGAAAATCTTGTACGACATTAAACGCCAATGAGTAAATACGAGCATAAATCAACATGACAAATGACTAAATATTCTGTGTGCCGACAACATCACAAGAAGGTAACAAGTATCAATGCGACAGTTGAAGTGGCCTGACTGGCAGATACCTCGTACTAATATTAGTGACAAACACGATTTAATAGAAAGCATCTTAATACAAATATAATTGCTCATATTTGTATTTTCATTTTAAATATTAACAGAGGGTTGAAGAAAAGAAATTTTGTTTTAATCACATGAGCAAAGGCATCATGAG